CGTTCAGATGTTCAGACGCTCTGACCGGTCCGTTCAGATGTTCAGACGCTCTGACCGGTCCGTTCAGACGTTCAGACGCTCTGATTGGTCCGTTCAGACGCTCTGATTGGTCCGTTCAGACGCTCTGATTGGTCCGTTCAGACGCTCTGATTGGTCCAGACATGAACTTGTTTTCATCAACAGGTGATGGGCGTCGACGTTTCTCCGGACGGAAAACTGATCGCAACAAGTTCGTACGACCGCACCTTCAAACTGTGGCTGACCGAGTGATGTCATAGAGTGATGTCATAGAGTGATGTCATCGGGGTGTCATCGTGATGTCATCGTGATGTCATCGTGATGTCATCGTGATGTCATCGGGGTGTCATAGAGTGATGTCATAGAGTGATGTCATCGGGGTGTCATCGTGATGTCATCGTGATGTCATCGTGATGTCATCGGGGTGTCATAGAGTGATGTCATCGGGGTGTCATAGAGTGATGTCATCGGGGTGTCATAGAGTGATGTCATCGGGGTGTCATAGAGTGATGTCATCGGGGTGTCAGGATTTTGTTTTTTTGTCTGAAAGTGAATAAAACCTCATTTTTTTTCTTGTTTATTTTTTAAATAAAGTTCCAGTTTACATTTTGGGTGTTTGTTCTTTAATAAAGCTTAACGAGGGAACTCATTCAATTAGAGCTCTAAATTCTAGCTTAACGAGTACATTAAATTAACATCAAGACATTTGACATTTATATATTAATACAATAAACTGTTGTAGAAATAAAAACTGTCATAAAGTTAAACATGAATAATCTAAAGGAGATACTAATAAGAAATGAGCAGCTAAATACAACTGAAAGCAGGTCATAAAGTAAAATCATCACAACACCTTATTAAGAGTCTTTTAATCATGATATATATACAAACAGCAGGGGGCGGCACGTGCCTTTAAAACCACCGAAGAAGAAGAAGCTCGTGACAGAATCACGTGACAGCTCTGCATCGTGACGTGTGATCAGCTGACCGTCAGACAGGATCCTCCGACCTTCATCAGAACCTCATCTTTATCCTCCTCTCAGAACCAGAATCATGGCCAGCCAGTCTCAAGGGATCCAGCAGCTGCTGCAGGCCGAGAAGAGGGCCGCGGAGAAGGTGGCCGAGGCCCGCAAGCGTGAGTACACACACCGTGGAGAGAGGCTCCGAGGGCCGGGGAGAGGGGTTTAGACCCGGGTAGAGAGCCGCGGAGAAGGTGGCCGAGGCCCGCAAGCGTGAGTACACACACCGTGGAGAGAGGCTCCGAGGGCCGGGGAGAGGGGTTTAGACCCGGGTAGAGAGCCGCGGAGAAGGTGGCCAAGGCCCGCAAGCGTGAGTACACACACCGTGGAGAGAGGCTCCGAGGGCCGGGGAGAGGGGCTTAGACCCGGGTAGAGAGCCGCGGAGAAGGTGGCCGAGGCCCGCAAGCGTGAGTACACACACCGTGGAGAGAGGCTCCGAGGGCCGGGGAGAGGGGCTTAGACCCGGGTAGAGAGCCGCGGAGAAGGTGGCCGAGGCCCCCGAGCCTGAGTACAGAGAGAGGGTAGAGAGGACCGGGGAGAGAGAGGTAGAGGCCCGCAAGCGTGAGTACACACACCCGGGGAGAGAGAGGCCGTAGAGAGGGGCTGAGGCCCGGGGAGAGAGGGGCTGAGGCCCGGGGAGAGAGGCATGGAGCTACGGAGCTGATGATGAAGCTGAAAGAGCCGCTTTTATACTGCGAAGTGAGGAGAGACAGGAGGGACATGAACACCAGACCCGGGTTTAGAGACAGGAGGGACATGAACACCAGACCCGGGTTTAGAGACAGGAGGGACATGAACACCAGACCCGGGTTTAGAGACAGGAGGGACATGAACACCAGACTCGGGTTTAGAGACAGGAGGGACATGAACACCAGACCCGGGTTCAGAGACTCCGTGTTCAGGCCGTTCCTAGAGGAATCATCCATGGTTCAGACAGCCTGCTGATCCGCCAATATATGCGGAAGCCAATATCCTCGCGATTGAGAAACGGCCCCTGTTTAATTAAATATGTTCTGAGTTAAAGTGCATGTGTAATCAGCTGGTGTTTCCTTTAGTCATGTGATCATAATGAGTCATAGCCGAGCATCACGTGACTCAGAGAGGAGTGATCTGATTGGATCAGTGGGTGGACAGAATAACAGAAACACCTCCAGTTCCTCTAAAGATGGTCTCTCAACAACACAGAGTTTAAAGAGTTCCTTCAGGGCTTCACCTGATGGTCTCTCAACAACACAGAGTTTAAAGACTTCCTTCAGGGCTTCACCTGATGGTCTCTCAACAACACACAGTTTAAAGAGTTCCTTCAGGGCTTCATCTGATGGTCTCTCAACAACACACAGTTTAAAGAGTTCCTTCAGGGCTTCATCTGATGGTTTCTCAACAACACACAGTTTAAAGAGTTCCTTCAGGGCTTCACCTGATGGTCTCTCAACAACACACAGTTTAAAGAGTTCCTTCAGGGCTTCACCTGATGGTCTCTCAACAACACACAGTTTAAAGAGTTCCTTCAGGGCTTCATCTGATGGTCTCTCAACAACACACAGTTTAAAGAGTTCCTTCAGGGCTTCATCTGATGGTTTCTCAACAACACACAGTTTAAAGAGTTCCTTCAGGGCTTCATCTGATGGTCTCTCAACAACACACAGTTTAAAGAGTTCCTTCAGGGCTTCACCTGATGGTCTCTCAACAACACACAGTTTAAAGAGTTCCTTCAGGGCTTCACCTGATGGTCTCTCAACAACACACAGTTTAAAGAGTTCCTTCAGGGCTTCACCTGATGGTCTCTCAACAACACACAGTTTAAAGAGTTCCTTCAGGGCTTCATCTGATGGTCTCTCAACAACACACAGTTTAAAGAGTTCCTTCAGGGCTTCATCTGATGGTCTCTCAACAACACACAGTTTAAAGAGTTCCTTCAGGGCTTCACCTGATGGTCTCTCAACAACACACAGTTTAAAGAGTTCCTTCAGGGCTTCATCTGATGGTCTCTCAACAACACACAGTTTAAAGAGTTCCTTCAGGGCTTCATCTGATGGTCTCTCAACAACACACAGTTTAAAGAGTTCCTTCAGGGCTTCACCTGATGGTCTCTCAACAACACACAGTTTAAAGAGTTCCTTCAGGGCTTCATCTGATGGTCTCTCAACAACACACAGTTTAAAGAGTTCCTTCAGGGCTTCACCTGATGGTCTCTCAACAACACACAGTTTAAAGAGTTCCTTCAGGGCTTCACCTGATGGTCTCTCAACAACACACAGTTTAAAGAGTTCCTTCAGGGCTTCACCTGATGGTCTCTCAACAACACACAGTTTAAAGAGTTCCTTCAGGGCTTCACCTGATGGTCTCTCAACAACACACAGTTTAAAGAGTTCCTTCAGGGCTTCACCTGATGGTCTCTCAACAACACACAGTTTAAAGAGTTCCTTCAGGGCTTCACCTGATGGTCTCTCAACAACACACAGTTTTAAAGAGTTCCTTCAGGGCTTCACCTGATGGTCTCCCAACAACACACAGTTTAAAGAGTTCCTTCAGGGCTTCACCTGATGGTCTCTCAACAACACACAGTTTAAAGAGTTCCTTCAGGGCTTCACCTGATGGTCTCTCAACAACACACAGTTTAAAGAGTTCCTTCAGGGCTTCACCTGATGGTGATACTGGGGTCAATGGTGATTATTATTATTGATGATGGATATTAATATTGATAGTAACACAGCAGATGATGATGATGATAGTAACACAGCAGGTGATGATGATGATGATGATGATAGTAACACAGCAGGTGATGATGATGATGATGATAGTAACACAGCAGGTGATGGTGATGATGATGATGATGATGGTAACACAGCAGGTGATGATGATGATGATGATGATAGTAACACAGCAGGTGATGATGATGATGATAGTAACACAGCAGGTGATGATGATGATGATGATAGTAACACAGCAGGTGATGATGATGATGATGATGATGGTAACACAGCAGGTGATGATGATGATGATGATGATGATAGTAACACAGCAGGTGATGATGATGATGATGATGATGATAGTAACACAGCAGGTGTTTGTCTGCAGGTAAGAACCGGCGTCTGAAGCAGGCGAAGGAGGAAGCTCAGGCCGAGATCGAGCAGTACCGCATGCAGAGAGAGAAGGAGTTCAAGACCAAGGAGGCCGCGGTAATATATCATATATAATATATATATATATATATACACACTATACACACTATACACACTATACATACACACTATACATACTATACACACTATACATACACACTATACATACACACTATACATACACACTATACATACACACTATACACACTATACATACTATACACACTATACATACACACTATACACACTATACATACACACTATACACACTGTATATACAGTGTGTATATACAGTGTATATACAGTATATATAGTGTGTATATATAGTGTGTATATATAGTGTGTATGTATAGTGGAGTACAAGTTGGAGCACCATCTCCTGGTTCTCTGAGTAACTCACTGAGAAGGTTCTGTGCCCCCCTGACTACATACAGGGCTGGTGGTCTGGAGGAGACCCTCCTCATGTTACTCATATAGATAACTCACTGAGAAGGTTCTGTGCCCCCCTGACTACATACAGGGCCGGTGGTCCGGAGGAGACCCTCCTCATGTTACTCATCATATAAATAACTCACTGAGAAGGTTCTGTGCCCCCCTGACTACATACAGGGCCGGTGGTCCGGAGGAGACCCTCCTCATGTTACTCATCATATAGATAACTCACTGAGAAGGTTCTGTGCCCCCCTGACTACATACAGGGCCGGTGGTCCGGAGGAGACCCTCCTCATGTTACTCATCATATAGATAACTCAGTGAGAAGGTTCTGTGCCCCCCTGACTACATACAGGGCCGGTGGTCCGGAGGAGACCCTCCTCATGTTACTCATATAGATAACTCAGTGAGAAGGTTCTGTGCCCCCCTGACTACATACAGGGCCGGTGGTCCGGAGGTGACCCTCCTCATGTTACTCATCAGATGTGTGTTCCACCAGAAATAGTTTTAATGTTTTCCTTTTATATAATTAACTTGAATGATTTATATCTGTACCCCCCAGGCTCTTGGTTCCCATGGCAACAGCGCAGTGGAGGTGGACCGCGACACGGTGGAGCGCATGGCTCTGATCCAGGCCAGTTACCGTAGCAACAGGGAGACGGTGCTGGGAGACCTGCTGCGGCGCGTCTGTGACATCACACCCGAGTTCCACGTTAACTATAGGGTGGCCGGGTGAAGGGGGCGGGGCCTGGACGCTAGCGACATTAGCTTCGTTAGCTTCTATCACAGCCACAAGCAGCTTGGCGTTCCACCTCTTCCTGTTTCCTGTGTTGTTGCCGTGGTGATGTTTACGTGTTGTTACCGTGGCGATGTTTATATTTATATCAGGATTCATTTCCGAAACCATTTCCTGCATCTAACAAAAGCCTCACTGCAGAGAGAATCAGCCAATCAGGAGACAGTTAAATTAAATAATATATAAATATCAGATCTCTGATTGGTTGGTCCTCTCTGAGCTCTCTCCTCCAATCAGGAGGCAGTCTCTGCTCTCAGCTGACGGGCTGGAGAAGTGAGAAGACTTTTGTTGTGACAGTTTAGTTTGTTTCCTGTGTTTGACCATGTGACTTCCTGTTGATGTTCTGATGACTTCCTGTTGATGTTCTGATGACTTCCTGTTGATGTTCTGATGACTTCCTGTTGATGTTCTGATGACTTCCTGTTGATGTTCTGATGACTTCCTGTTGTTTGTAAAGTGATGATGAAAACAATAAACTGGATGTTGATCAATCTGCGTCTCTAACTGGAGACTTTAAAACAAGATAACATTATAAAGAGGAACACACCTGTCTCCCTCACACACCTGTCTCCCTCACACACCTGTCTCCCTCACACACCTGTCTCTCTCACACACCTGTCTCCCTCACACACCTGTCTCCCTCACACACCTGTCTCCCTCACACACCTGTCTCCCTCACACACCTGTCTCTCTCACACACCTGACTCCGGCCCAATCCCAAACCGCCCCCTACACCCTACACACTACCCCTACACCCTACCCCTACACACTACCCCTCCGTTTGCGCGTTCGCGCGGAGGGTCCGCCACATTAAGTGCTGTTCCAAACCAACGAGTGTGGAGCGGTGTGGAGGGGGAGTGGGCTATCAAGCCCTCAAACAGCGAGTCTGCATCGGTGCTGACTTGAGACTGGTCTCTACCTGACCGGAGTCACGCTGTGTGTGTCCGTCAGGAAACACGCTGTTTACAAACAGTTCCAGCAAACATCCACTGATAAACTGCGATGTTAACAACCTCATGATAACCTCATATTTTTTTAACTTAGGATCATACCTGTGTTTAGTCTAGAAAAAGGTAAATGTGTGCATTTTATTATAAAGTTGTGTATATTTACAGACTGTTGCAACAACTAAGAAGCTTATAAACATCAGGTTTAAAACTAAAAGAGCTTTACAGAAAAGTAACACAATGAAAGATGTTTGGAGTTTTATTTGAGTTCTTAATTTACATTTTTTGTCTAAGAGATGCTGATTTGAAACCGTTGTTACATACAGTTACGGCATTTCCTGTTTCTGCCGGAGAGAGGGGAGTTTGTCCCAAAGCTTGCCGCTGTATTTACTCCCTCCATCTGACAGGAGGGAGCCTCGTTGAGCTGAGAGTGTGGCTACAGACGGAGTTCACTCCGCCACGGAGGGGTAGGGTCGAGGGAGTGGTTTGGGATTGGGCCTAACTCACACACCTGACTCCCTCACCCACCTGTCTCCCTCACACACCTGTCCCTCACACACCTGTCTCCCTCACCCACCTGTCTCCCTCACACACCTGTCCCTCACACACCTGTCTCCCTCACCCACCTGTCTCCCTCACACACCTGTCGGGAGCTTTCTCCTAAATGCATCCATTAATATCCTACATAAAGCCTAATTTGCATATTTAAACTGGAACTGAAATGTTGTCAAAGATATTTTCGATAATGTATTTAATAAACTGGGGAAGTTTCATGCTCGTGTCTCTCTTTATAAATTCATTTAAAATGATTTAAATTCATTTAAAATGTCTCGTTTTTCAGAGCCTGTGATTTTCTGTCACGTGACTCTTCACTATCTCCGCTTACGTGGCTCCACCAAAGCCCCGCCCCTTAGCCCCAGAACTCGCCTTCTGATTGGTCCAAACGGGGCCCTCTTAGCTCCTCCCACTGTGGGCTGCGTGGTGACGACATGACGCGGGGAACCGGAAGTGCAGCCGGACGGTGAAGTTGACTTTCTTTCTTCTTCTCTTGTTTCTCCGAACACAAACCAGAGGAGAAGAAGAACAAGAACAAGAAGAACAAGAAGGAACACCTGAGGACCTGCAGGTGAGAGAGCGGTGTGAGTGTGTGAGTGTGTGTGTGAGTGTGTGTGTGTCGGTGTGTGAGTGTGTGTGTACGTGTCGGTGTACGTGTCGGTGTGTGTACATGTGACCTCTGCTCACACTGAACCGCAGGCTCCTACCTGTCGCCTCTCCGCGCAGGGTTGATCCTACAGAGACACACGTTTATCAGATCTAATCACTCTGTGTTCCTTCAGCTGCTCTCTGTAACAGCTGAAGAGAACATGGTGACAGCTTCCTGTTCAGAGACACTGGACATATGTATATATGTGAAGTACATGTTCTACATATATAGTACATGTACTGTAGTTCAGCTGTAATACAGTCGTTAATCTGTGATACTGTAGTTAATCTGTGATACTGTAGTTCAGCTGTGATACTGTAGTTCATCTGTGATACTGTAGTTCAGCTGTGATACTGTAGTTCAGCTGTGATACTGTAGTTCATCTGTGATACTGTAGTTCAGCTGTGATACTGTAGTTCAGCTGTGATACTGTAGTTCAGCTGTGATACAGTAGTTCAGCTGTGATACTGTAGTTCAGCTGTGATACTGTAGTTCAGCTGTGATACTGTAGTTCAGCTGTGATACAGTAGTTCAGCTGTGATACAGTAGTTCAGCTGTGATACTGTAGTTCAGCTGTGATACAGTAGTTAATCTGTGATACTGTAGTTAATCTGTGATACTGTAGTTCAGCTGTGATACTGTAGTTAATCTGTGATACTGTAGTTAATCTGTGATACTGTAGTTAATCTGTGATACTGTAGTTCAGCTGTGATACTGTAGTTAATCTGTGATACTGTAGTTAATCTGTGATACTGTAGTTCAGCTGTGATACTGTAGTTCAGCTGTGATACAGTAGTTCAGCTGTGATACTGTAGTTAATCTGTGATACTGTAGTTAATCTGTGATACTGGAGTTCAGCTGTGATACTGGAGTTCAGCTGTGATACTGTAGTTCAGCTGTGATACTGTAGTTCATCTGTGATACTGTAGTTCAGCTGTGATGCTGTAGTTCAGCTGTGATGCAGTAGTTCAGCTGTGATACTGTAGTTCAGCTGTGATACTGGAGTTCAGCTGTGATACTGGAGTTCAGCTGTGATACAGTAGTTAATCTGTGATACTGTCGTTCAGCTGTGATACTGTAGTTCAGCTGTGATACTGGAGTTCAGCTGTGATACAGTAGTTCAGCTGTGATACTGGAGTTCAGCTGTGATACTGGAGTTCAGCTGTGATACTGGAGTTCAGCTGTGATACAGTAGTTCAGCTGTGATACTGTAGTTCAGCTGTGCTACAGTATTACAGCTGAACGACTGTAGCACAGCTGGAGGCGTCAGGTGACAGAGAGCATCATGGGAGAGGATGGAGCTGTTTGATGTGAAACAATAGAGGGGGGGGGGGCAGGAAGAGTAAGAGCTGTGATCCAGAGAGGGGGCGGGGGACAGGAGGTGGAACAGCAAGAGAGGGAAACATCAAACATTATTCTGAATTCTGATTTTAAAAAGTCTTAATTCTGAGATTGTGAGTTTGCATAATACAGAGATTTAGATCAGAGTTCAGGTGTTCAGCAGGAGAGGACTCTTTAAAGTAGAGACACTACATACTGATATACACCTGAACATCAGCTGGAGAGGACTCTTTAAAGTAGAGACACTACATACTGATATACACCTGAACATCAGCAGGAGAGGACTCTTTAAAGTAGAGACACTACATACTGATATACACCTGAACATCAGCAGGAGAGGACTCTTTAAAGTAGAGACACTACATACTGATATACACCTGAACATCAGCTGGAGAGGACTCTTTAAAGTAGAGACACTACATACTGATATACACCTGAACATCAGCAGGAGAGGACTCTTTAAAGTAGAGACACTACATACTGATATACACCTGAACATCAGCAGGAGAGGACTCTTTAAAGTAGAGACACTACATACTGATATACACCTGAACATCAGCAGGAGAGGACTCTTTAAAGTAGAGACACTACATACTGATATACACCTGAACATCAGCAGAGAGAACTCTTTAAAGTAGAGACACTACATACTGATATACACCTGAACATCAGCTGGAGAGGACTCTTTAAAGTAGAGACACTACATACTGATATACACCTGAACATCAGCAGAGAGAACTCTTTAAAGTAGAGACACTACGTACTGATATACACCTGAACATCAGCAGGAGAGGACTCTTTAAAGTAGAGACACTACGTACTGATATACACCTGAACATCAGCAGGAGAGAACTCTTTAAAGTAGAGACACTACATACTGACATACACCTGAACATCAGCAGGAGAGGACTCTTTAAAGTAGAGACACTACATACTGATATACACCTGAACATCAGCAGGAGAGGACTCTTTAAAGTGGAGACACTACATACTGATATACACCTGAACATCAGCAGGAGAGGACTCTTTAAAGTAGAGACACTACATACTGATATACACCTGAACATCAGCAGGAGAGGACTCTTTAAAGTAGAGACACTACGTACTGATATACACCTGAACATCAGCAGGAGAGGACTCTTTTAAAGTAGAGACACTACGTACTGATATACACCTGAACATCAGCAGGAGAGGACTCTTTAAAGTAGAGACACTACATACTGATATACACCTGAACATCAGCAGGAGAGGACTCTTTAAAGTAGAGACACTACATACTGATATACACCTGAACATCAGCAGGAGAGGACTCTTTAAAGTAGAGACACTACATACTGATATACACCTGAACATCAGCAGGAGAGGACTCTTTAAAGTAGAGACACTACATACTGATATACACCTGAACATCAGCAGGAGAGGACTCTTTAAGTAGAGACACTACATACTGATATACACCTGAACATCAGCAGGAGAGGACTCTTTAAAGTAGAGACACTACATACTGACATACACCTGAACATCAGCAGGAGAGGACTCTTTAAAGTAGAGACACTACATACTGATATACACCTGAACATCAGCAGGAGAGGACTCTTTAAAGTGGAGACACTACATACTGATATACACCTGAACATCAGCAGGAGAGGACTCTTTAAAGTAGAGACACTACATACTGATATACACCTGAACATCAGCAGGAGAGGACTCTTTAAAGTAGAGACACTACATACTGATATACACCTGAACATCAGCAGGAGAGGACTCTTTAAAGTAGAGACACTACATACTGATATACACCTGAACATCAGCAGGAGAGGACTCTTTAAAGTAGAGACACTACATACTGATATACACCTGAACATCAGCTGGAGAGGACTCTTTAAAGTAGAGACACTACATACTGATATACACCTGAACATCAGCAGGAGAGGACTCTTTAAAGTAGAGACACTACATACTGATATACACCTGAACATCAGCAGGAGAGGACTCTTTAAAGTAGAGACACTACATACTGATATACACCTGAACATCAGCAGGAGAGGACTCTTTAAAGTAGAGACACTACATACTGATATACACCTGAACATCAGCAGGAGAGGACTCTTTAAAGGAGAGACACTACATACTGATATAGACCTGAACATCAGCAGGAGAGGACTCTTTAAAGTAGAGACACTACACACTGATATACACCTGAACATCAGCAGGAGAGGACTCTTTAAAGTAGAGACACTACATACTGATATACACCTGAACATCAGCAGGAGAGGACTCTTTAAAGTAGTCCTTTAAAGAGTGTTCCCTCCAGCTGTTATATCTCAAAGGTTAAAGGTTAGACACGTCAGGAGCATCAGCAGGTAGATGACCTCTCACCTGCAGCAGGTAGATGACCTCTCACCTGCAGCAGGTAGATGACCTCTCACCTGCAGCAGGTAGATGACCTCTCACCTGCAGCAGGTAGATGACCTCTCACCTGCAGCAGGAGAACCTCTCACCTGCAGCAGGTAGATGACCTCTCACCTGCAGCAGGTAGATGACCTCTCACCTGCAGCAGGTAGATGACCTCTCACCTGCAGCAGGTAGATGACCTCTCACCTGCAGCAGGTAGATGACCTCTCACCTGCAGCAGGTAGATGACCTCTCACCTGCAGCAGGTAGATGACCTCTCACCTGCAGCAGGTAGATGACCTCTCACCTGCAGCAGGTAGATGACTTCTCACCTGCAGCAGGTAGATGACCTCTCACCTGCAGACTCTCAACAGATGTGGTTAACTCTCACTGAGAAACAGGAGGATAAACTCTGACCTGAGCAGGTGTGACACCAGGTGAGAGGGGCCGCTGAGGGCTCTCAGGCAGTGTGTGATTGGCTGAGGGCTCTCAGGGCAGCGTCTGATTGGCTGAGGGCTCTCAGGCAGTGTGTGATTGGCTGAGGGCTCTCAGGGCAGCGTCTGATTGGCTGAGGGCTCTCAGGGCAGCGTCTGATTGGCTGAGGGCTGTCAGGCAGCGTGTGATTGGCTGAGGGCTCTCAGGCAGCGTATGATTGGCTGAGGGCTCTCAGGGCAGCGTCAGATTGGCTGAGGGTGTGTATTTAACGTCTCTCTCTCTCTCTCTCTCCTGCAGACAGTCTCCTCTCGTCTCTCTGCTCACAGGTAAGACACTTCAATCTATAACTGTTCCTGATGTGGCACTGTTAGCGTTAGCTGTTAGCAACAGGTGTGCAGCCCTGCTTTACTAAATGATGGAGCTAATGCTAACAATGCTACAGAGGCTTCATAGAGTTACCCTGTGCTGTAACGGTGTGTTCTCTGAGGGCTATGAGGACATTATGAAAGCTTTACTGGTGATTGGAAATCACTGTTATCAGTCAGCAGGTGTCAGAGCTGCAGGTGAACCAATCAGAAAGCTGGGATTATGTAACCTGTTATCTGTTTATCAGTGTTTCCCAACCTGAGGCCCGGGGCCACAAACAGGTCCAAAGATCCAAAGATCCGGTCCTCCTCACGTTCATCACGTCTCAGCTTTAATCATCACAATAATCTGAGTTCATTACTGGGGAGGAAACTCTTCAGAGGAACTGATCAATAACTCTTCAGAGGAACTGATCAATAACTCTTCAGAGGAACAGGAATATTCACTTTATTCTATCTTTTTAACTCAAAGTGATGCTGAACAGTAAACAGGAAGTAATTGTTGCCGCCGGCAACGCTCGACCTTTCCGTTAATGTTGCTCTGATCTAATTGGCTGACAGCAGACGGCTCCTCGGAGCACTCTGATTGGCCGGTTCTGGCTCCTGTAGCCTCGGGGCCTGAGGGCCAATCAGATTACAGCTGGGCGTCTCCCTGGTGACATCAGGGCGTTGCCACGGTGACGGTTTTAACCAGTCAGCGTTTCCCAGTGTGTTTTAGTTCAGATCATCGTTTCAGAGGAGCCAGGTAAGACCATCTGTCTCCGTCTGTCTCTATCTGTCTCCACCTGTCTCTATCTGTCTCCATCTGTCTCCACCTGTCTCCACCTGTCTCCATCTGTCTCTATCTGTCTCCATCTGTCTCCATCTGTCTCCATCTGTCTCTATCTGTCTCCACCTGTCTCCACCTGTCTCCACCTGTCTCCACCTGTCTCCACCTGTCTCCATCTGTCTCCATCTGTCTCCATCTGTCTCCATCTGTCTCTATCTGTCTCCATCTGTCTCCATCTGTCTCTACCTGTCTCCATCTGTCTCCATCTGTCTCTATCTGTCTCCATCTGTCTCCATCTGTCTCCATCTGTCTCTATCTGTCTCCATCTGTCTCCATCTGTCTCCATCTGTCTCCATCTGTCTCCATCTGTCTCTATCTGTCTCCATCTGTCTCCATCTGTCTCTATCTGTCTCCATCTGTCTCTATCTGTCTCCATCTGTCTCCATCTGTCTCCATCTGTCTCCATCTGTCTCCATCTGTCTCCATCTGTCTCCATCTGTCTCCATCTGTCTCCATCTGTCTCCACCTGTCTCCATCTGTCTCCATCTGTCTCCATCTGTCTCTATCTGTCTCTATCTGTCTCTATCTGTCTCCACCTGTCTCTATCTGTCTCCATCTGTCTCTATCTGTCTCCACCTGTCTCCACCTGTCTCTATCTGTCTCCATCTGTCTCTATCTGTCTCTATCTGTCTCCATCTGTCTCCATCTGTCTCCATCTGTCTCCACCTGTCTCCACCTGTCTCCACCTGTCTCCACCTGTCTCCATCTGTCTCCATCTGTCTCTATCTGTCTCCATCTGTCTCTATCTGTCTCCATCTGTCTCCATCTGTCTCCATCTGTCTCCACCTGTCTCCACCTGTCTCCACCTGTCTCCACCTGTCTCTATCTGTCTCCATCTGTCTCCATCTGTCTCCACCTGTCTCCACCTGTCTCCACCTGTCTCCACCTGTCTCCACCTGTCTCCATCTGTCTCCATCTGTCTCCATCTGTCTCTATCTGTCTCTACCTGTCTCTACCTGTCTCTTCCTGTCTCTTCCTGTCTCTTCCTGTCTCTTCCTGTCTCTTCCTGTCTCTACCTGTCTCTTCCTGTCTCTTCCTGTCTCTTCCTGTCTCTACCTGTCTCTTCCTGTCTCTTCCTGTCTCTTCCTGTCTCTTCCTGTCTCTATCTGTCTCACCTGTCTCATCTGTCTCATCTGTCTCCACCTGTCTCTATCTGTCTCCACCTGTCTCTATCTGTCTCCACCTGTCTCCATCTGTCTCTATCTGTCTCTATCTGTCTCATCTGTCTCCACCTGTCTCTATCTGTCTCCACCTGTCTCCACCTGTCTCCACCTGTCTCCATCTGTCTCTATCTGTCTCCACCTGTCTCTATCTGTCTCCACCTGTCTCTATCTGTCTCCACCTGTCTCCACCTGTCTCCATCTGTCTCTATCTGTCTCATCTGTCTCCATCTGTCTCTATCTGTCTCTATCTGTCTCATCTGTCTCCACCTGTCTCTATCTGTCTCCACCTGTCTCCATCTGTCTCCACCTGTCTCCATCTGTCTCTATCTGTCTCCACCTGTCTCTATCTGTCTCCACCTGTCTCCACCTGTCTCTATCTGTCTCTATCTGTCTCATCTGTCTCTATCTGTCTCATCTGTCTCATCTGTCTCATCTGTCTCCACCTGTCTCCACCTGTCTCTATCTGTCTCCACCTGTCTCTATCTGTCTCCATCTGTCTCTATCTGTCTCCATCTGTCTCTATCTGTCTCCACCTGTCTCTATCTGTCTCCACCTGTCTCCATCTGTCTCCATCTGTCTCTATCTGTCTCCACCTGTCTCTATCTGTCTCCACCTGTCTCCACCTGTCTCCATCTGTCTCCATCTGTCTCTATCTGTCTCCATCTGTCTCATCTGTCTCCACCTGTCTCTATCTGTCTCCACCTGTCTCCATCTGTCTCCACCTGTCTCCATCTGTCTCTATCTGTCTCCACCTGTCTCTATCTGTCTCCACCTGTCTCCACCTGTCTCTATCTGTCTCTATCTGTCTCTATCTGTCTCATCTGTCTCCACCTGTCTCTATCTGTCTCTTCCTGTCTCTATCTGTCTCTTCCTGTCTCTTCCTGTCTCTATCTGTCTCTTCCTGTCTCTTCCTGTCTCTTCCTGTCTCTTCCTGTCTCTTCCTGTCTCTATCTGTCTCTATCTGTCTCTATCTGTCTCATCTGTCTCCATCTGTCTCTATCTGTCTCCATCTGTCTCATCTGTCTCCACCTGTCTCTATCTGTCTCCACCTGTCTCCATCTGTCTCCACCTGTCTCCATCTGTCTCTATCTGTCTCCACCTGTCTCTATCTGTCTCCACCTGTCTCCACCTGTCTCTATCTGTCTCTATCTGTCTCTATCTGTCTCATCTGTCTCCACCTGTCTCCACCTGTCTCTATCTGTCTCCACCTGTCTCTATCTGTCTCCATCTGTCTCTATCTGTCTCTATCTGTCTCTATCTGTCTCTATCTGTCTCCATCTGTCACTATCTGTCTCCACCTGTCTCCACCTGTCTCTATCTGTCTCCACCTGTCTCCATCTGTCTCCATCTGTCTCCATCTGTCTCCATCTGTCTCTATCTGTCTCCATCTGTCTCTATCTGTCTCCACCTGTCTCCACCTGTCTCTATCTGTCTCTGCTGTCTCTCTGTCTCAGTCTCTCTGTCTCTCTGTCTCTCTGTCTCTGCTGCAACGCCAAACTTTCCCAAATTGGGATCAATAAAGTACTTCTTATCTTCTCTTACAGCAGAGGTATATTTCCTGACCCCAGAGCATCATGGGATTTGTAGTTCTTGTGTGATTAATGAGCTGTGTATGTCTTTCAGCCATGGACCACAGCGGCATGAACCACAGCGGCATGGACCACAGCGGCATGGACCACAGCGGCATGGACCACAGCGGCATGGACCACAGCGGCCACCACCCCTCCACCTCCACCACCCCCACCGGGGGCCACGGGGACCACGGGGGGGGGGAGGTGGGGGGCCACGGGGGCATGGTGAGGCTATATGCTACATGCTAACACCACTTTAACTGCTACATGATGTGATAAAGACAGTCTACATGTGATGTTAGCATGCTACATGCTAACAGCGCTTTAACTACTTTTGTTTTCTTTGTAATGTTTCTGATTTTATTTAAAGTGTCTTTGAGCATTAAGAAAAGCGCTATAAAAATCCAACGTATTATTATTATAATTACATGATGTGATAAAGACGGTCTACATGTGGTGCTACATGCTACATGCTAACACTACTTTAACTTCTACATGATGTGATAAAGACGGTCGACATGTGGTGCTACATGCTACATGCTAACACTACTTTAACTTCTACATGATGTGATAAAGACGGTCTACATGTGGTGTTAGCGTGCTACATGCTAACACTACTTTAACTTCTACATGATGTGATGAAGACGGTCTACATGTGGTGTTAGCGTGCTACATGCTACATGCTAACACTACTTTAACTTCTACATGATGTGATAAAGACGGTCTACATGTGGTGTTAGCGTGCTACATGCTACATGCTAACACTACTTTAACTTCTACATGATGTGATAAAGACGGTCTACATGTGGTGTTAGCGTGCTACATGCTACATGCTAACACTACTTTAACTTCTACATGACGTGATGAAGACGGTCTACATGTGGTGTTAGCGTGCTACATGCTACATGCTAACACTACTTTAACTTCTACATGATGTGACAAAGACGGTCTACATGTGGTGTTAGCATGCTACATGCTACATGCTAACACTACTTTAACTTCTACATGACGTGATGAAGACGGTCTACATGTGATGTTAGCGTGCTACATGCTACATGCTAACACTACTTTAACTTCTACATGACGTGATAAAGACGGTCTACATGTGGTGTTAGCGTGCTACATGCTACATGCTAACACTACTTTAACTTCTACATGACGTGATGAAGACGGTCTACATGTGGTGTTAGCGTGCTACATGCTACATGCTAACACTACATTAACTTCTACATGATGTGATAAAGACGGTCTACATGTGGTGTTAGCGTGCTACATGCTACATGCTAACACTACTACATGACGTGATGAAGACGGTCTACATGTGGTGTTAGCGTGCTACATGCTACATGCTAACACTACTTTAACTTCTACATGATGTGATAAAGACGGTCTACATGTGGTGTTAGCGTGCTACATGCTACATGCTAACACTACTTTAACTTCTACATGATGTGATAAAGACGGTCTACATGTGATGTTAGCGTGCTACATGCTACATGCTAACACTACTTTAACTTCTACATGATGTAATAAAGATAGTCTACATGTAGTGTTAGCGTGCTACATGCTACATGCTAACACTACTTTAACTTCTACATGATGTGACAAAGACGGTCTACATGTGGTGTTAGCGTGCTACATGCTAACACTACATTAACTTCTACATGATGTGACAAAGACGGTCTACATGTGGTGTTAGCATGCTACATGCTACATGCTAACAGCGCTTTAACTACTTTTGTTTTCTTTGTAATGTTTCTGATTTTATTTAAAGTGTCTTTGAGCATTAAGAAAAGCGCTATAAAAATCAAACGTATTATTATTATAATTACATGATGTGATAAAGACGGTCTACATGTGGTGTTAGCGTGCTACATGCTAACACTACATTAACTTCTACATGATGTGATGAAGACGGTCTACATGTGGTGTTAGCGTGCTACATGCTAACACTACATTAACTTCTACATGATGTGATAAAGACGGTCTACATGTGGTGTTAGCGTGCTACATGCTAACACTACTTTAACTTCTACATGATGTGATAAAGACGGTCTACATGTGGTGTTAGCGTGCTACATGCTACATGCTAACACTACTTTAACTTCTACATGATGTGATAAAGACGGTCTACATGTGATGTTAGCGTGCTACATGCTAACACTACTTTAACTTCTACATGATGTGATAAAGATAGTCTACATGTAGTGTTAGCGTGCTACGTGCTACATGCTAACACTACTTTAACTTCTACATGATGTGATAAAGATAGTCTACATGTAGTGTTAGCGTGCTACATGCTAACACTACTTTAACTTCTACATGATGTGACAAAGACGGTCTACATGTAGTGTTAGCGTGCTACATGCTACATGCTAACACTACTTTAACTTCTACATGATGTGATAAAGACGGTCTACATGTAGTGTTAGCGTGCTACATGCTACATGCTAACACTACATTAACTTCTACATGATGTGATGAAGACGGTCTACATGTGGTGTTAGCGTGCTACGTGCTACATGCTAACACTACTTTAACTTCTACATGTAGTGTTAGTGTGCTACATGCTAACACTACTTTAACTTCTACATGATGTGACAAAGACGGTCTACATGTAGTGTTAGCGTGCTACATGCTACATGCTAACACTACTTTAACTTCTACATGATGTGATAAAGACGGTCTACATGTGGTGTTAGCGTGCTACATGCTACATGCTAACACTACATTAACTTCTACATGATGTGATGAAGACGGTCTACATGTGGTGTTAGCGTGCTACGTGCTACATGCTAACACTACTTTAACTTCTACATGTAGTGTTAGCGTGCTACATGCTAACACTACTTTAACTTCTACATGATGTGACAAAGACGGTCTACATGTAGTGTTAGCGTGCTACATGCTACATGCTACATGCTAACACTACTTTAACTTCTACATGATGTGATAAAGACGGTCTACATGTGGTGTTAGCGTGCTACGTGCTACATGCTAACACTACTTTAACTTCTACATGATGTGATAAAGACGGTCTACATGTGGTATTAGCGTGCTACATGCTAACACTACTTTAACTTCTACATGATTTGACAAAGACGGTCTACATGTGGTGTTAGCGTGCTACATGCTAACACTACTTTAACTTCTACATGATGTGATAAAGACGGTCTACATGTGGTGTTAGCGTGCTACATGCTACATGCTAACACTACTTTAACTTCTACATGATGTGATAAAGACGGTCTACATGTGATGTTAGCGTGCTACATGCTAACACTACTTTAACTTCTACATGATGTGACAAAGACGGTCTACATGTAGTGTTAGCGTGCTACATGCTAACACTACTTTAACTTCTACATGATTTGACAAAGACGGTCTACATGTGGTGTTAGCGTGCTACATGCTACATGCTAACACTACTTTAACTTCTACATGATGTGATAAAGACGGTCTACATGTGATGTTAGCGTGCTACATGCTAACACTACTTTAACTTCTACATGATTTGACAAAGACGGTCTACATGTGGTGTTAGCGTGCTACATGCTAACACTACATTAACTTCTACATGATGTGACAAAGACGGTCTACTTGTGATGTTAGCGTGCTACATGCTACATGCTAACACTACTTTAACTTTTACATGATGTGATAAAGATAGTCTACATGTAGTGTTAGCGTGCTACATGCTAACACTACATTAACTTCTACATGATGTGACAAAGACGGTCTACATGTAGTGTTTGCGTGCTACATGCTACATGCTAACACTACTTTAACTTCTACATGATGTGATAAAGACGGTCTACATGTAGTGTTAGCGTGCTACATGCTACATGCTAACACTACATTAACTTCTACATGATGTGACAAAGACGGTCTACATGTAGTGTTAGCGTGCTACATGCTACATGCTACATGCTAACACTACTTTAACTTCTACATGATGTGATAAAGACGGTCTACATGAACTGATGTGATGTTAGCGTGCTACATGTAGCGTGGAGCTAACATGCTGACGTTGTGGTTGCTAGGTGATGACCTTCTACTTCGGGTACACCAACGTGGAGCTGCTGTTCACCGGCCTGCTCATCAACTCCCCGGGAGGTACACACCTTTCATATTATTATTTAACGTGATCAAATAAATAGTTATTATTTATGTATAAATGAATTGTATTAAATATTATTTTAATTGTATTTTAATAATTGTTCCTAATGCATTGATTACATGTTTTTACTGTGTATTCATGTTTTATTGTTTGTATATATATATTTAATTGTAATCCTGTAGTTTTTATATCCAATAAGACGTTCTAATACATTATATTCCTGTTATATATTTGACTTGTATATTGTTTATATATTCCCACGTCTACATTAACCCTCCTCTCCTCTGGTCCAATCAGAGATGGTGGGGGCGTGCATCGGAGTGTTCCTATTGGCCGTCCTGTACGAGGGTCTGAAGATGGGTCGAGAGACGCTGCTGCGCCGCAGTCAGGTGAACGTCCGCTACAACTCCATGCCTCTACCTGGAGCTGATGGGACCATCCTGATGGAGACGCACAAGACTGTGGGGTACGTGACAACAACAACAACAACAACAATCAGTAAAGCTAACAGTGATGCTAACTGTAAAGCAAGGCGTGATGCTACCCTCTCGTCCTCTCAGGCAGCGGATGATAAGCCCCGCCCACTTCCTGCAGACGCTGCTCCACATCGTGCAGGTGGTCGTCAGCTACCTCCTGATGGCTCGTCTTCATGACCTACAACGCGTACCTGTGCATCGCCGTGGCAGCCGGCGCTGGGATGGGGTACTTCCTGTTCAGCTGGAGGAAGGCAGTGGTCGTCGACATCACCGAGCACTGCCACTAGCTAGCGTGGCTAGTTAGCGTGCTAGTTAGTATCCGGTCGATCTGGAGTTTGATATTTGCGGAACACAATCGAGGAAACGCCTAACACATTAGACAAGTGTTAGCATGCTAGCCGACTGAACTACAAATCCCAGATTGTTAGAAACGAGACACTAAGTCCCAGGTAACCATGGTAACACTTTGATGTAGGTTAGCGTGCACACTAACGTCTTTAGTTAGCGGTTAATTAATCTGACTATCTGCGATGTATTTCCTGTTTGGTTGTGAGCTCCAATCACAGCTCGGATCACAGAGGAAGGCTCTGATTGGCCGATCCTCATTCTGTTGTTAATTTCCTGTTTGGTGCCATGACAACTGGAAAGGCTAGTGCTAATGTTAGCAGTCGTAGCTTACCTTATTTACACTTTAGTTAGCACTGTTAGCGGCCACATGTCGCATTTAAACATTTCTGTCGAAAATAATTTATAGAGTTTTTACACATTTTTTATTTAGATTTAAATGAAAATATTAAATGTCTGATTTTTGTTGAAGTGAAAACAAACAAACCGTCTCCTATTGGTCCGCCAGCCAGCCAATCACTATGATTTTTTAAAAGTATAAATATTTTTTATTAAAAACATCATGAAACTTTAAAACTTGAATTGAAATCTCATGAATTAATTATTCACTGAGTCCTTTTTTCAAACCAGAGTTTAGTTTCACGTGTTTCCTCCGTCGGCCTTAAACCGACACGCCGTGCGGTGCCTTAAGGGGCCGGGGACCTGCTGTTTCACTGTGGGGGGTCTGAAGGAGTCTGAGGGGGGGTCTGAGGGGGGGGTCTGAAGGGGTTTGTTGGAAACAGGACCGGTTTCTACCCACAATGCTTTACTCCTGTCTGTGATTTATTGTGATTATTGTGATGAGTCACACTGAGGGGGGCGGGGCTTACAGCTGGACCAATCAGGCTGCAGGGACAGATCGTGGTTACTGGACTTTACACATATATATATAAATGGTTAGTGTGGAGCGGCCCTTTGGGGTGTGAACCCGTCTCTGAAGGAAAATGATCAATATTTAAATGTCTGAAATGTTTTAATTGTCACAAATGCTGGAATCATTGAAAACAAACAGAATAAAGTTTATGAAGAAACAACGCGTGGTGTCGTTACAGAGGAAGCTCCTGTGAGAGACAGGTGTGAGACGAGACAGGTGAGAGTCAGGTGAGAGACAGGTGAGAGACAGGTGAGAGACAGGTGAGAGACAGGTGAGAGACAGGTGAGAGTCAGGTGATAAGGAATGAGTCTGCAGATAGAGCCATTTGTTTTTATAGGCAATCATTTAAGCTTTGTTAGTTCCAGGTTTAATATGTTCAATAAGTTCATTAAGTTCATTTCAATAAGTTCAATAAGTTCATTTCAATAAGTTCATTAAGTTAATTTCAATAAGTTCATTTCAATAAATTCATTAAGTTCATTTCAATAAGTTCATTAGTAAACATTGAACCAGTCCCTGGACTGGTACCCACTGTGTATTTGTATTTGAGCCCCTGTGTATTTGACCCACTGTGTATTTGAGCCACTGTGTATTTGTATTTGAGCCACTGTGTATTTGAGCCACTGTGTATGTGTATTTGAGCCACTGTGTATGTGTATTTGACCCACTGTGTATTTGTATTTGACCCCCTGTGTATTTGAGCCCCTGCTTTAGAGAATCATGACAGTCTAGTAAAAAAGCAAGACACAATTCAAGTTTTTTTTTATCCAACCCTTTTATTGTTTTTGGGAACTGGCAAACAGTTTGTAAGGCTGGACATCAACTAGCTCTTTGCAGACACGGTAAGTGGTGGCATCAGAGGCCGGAAGTACCTGCCACTGCCTGCAGACGCCTCTCTCTCCAGAAAGCTCCTCCGACAAACTGGTGGAGACGGTGGGGGGGGTGGGGGGTCTCGGCACTCCAGGTTTCACAGCCTGTGTGGGACCTGATAAATCTCTCTCGTAACTACAGAAGGGCACAGAAGACCTACATCACACACGTGATATATCATGCACACACTACTACTGGCTGCGACATGTTCATGTGATTAAATAGCACAGTTCATACTCGTTCTACAAATGAGCAGCTCAAACTTAGGGTGGCTATATAGTTCAGGGAAATTGTAAACCATACAAAACATTAATGACCTGTCCAAGAGAAAAAGGGCGACCATGGCGTCAGACTTCAGCTCGTTGTGTTCCATCACTAGTCGCCATCGTTGAAAAGCAACTCCGATATTGACTCTGGTTTGACTTCTCCTAGTGTCCCCTTTCTTCTTCTTCTTAATTAACTCCATTACAGTTTTTCTTTTGCGACCGATAGACGATGTTGACCCTAACTCTGCCATGGTGAACGTGTCCACTAGCTGTTGCTGCCTGGCGACTGACTGAAGTACTGCTGCCCGGGACGTAAATGGGTGCACGCGCAATGAGTGCACGCGCAATGAGTGCACGCGCAATGAGTGCACGCGCAATGAGTGCACGCGCAATGAGTGCACGGATGGAAGGCTGACAGGCAGGTAGGCCATCCAGTCATCTGACCCGGGTCGGCTCAGATGACTGGTCGTGCTTTTTGCAGAGCCACGGCTTCAAAGCATTTCATGTATTCATTGCTATCGAGATAATGTTAGGATGCTAGGATGTTAAGATGTTAGGATGCTAGGAGCATTCCATGGAATATAACAAGTGTTTCTGAAGGGAATTACCTACCCCACCTTTAATGTCATGCTTGGTTTATTGTAAACAATGATCGATGACATGCGGAGGCGCCGGTGGAGAGGCGGTAGAGAGGCGGTAGAGAGCCGGGTCACCGCCACTCCTCCGGAAGAGAAGACAAGATTTCCGGTGACAGTCGGTGTTGTTTTTGGGTCAAATCGCTCCGGATAATATCTTTAATTCACTCCACTCCGATGGATCGATCAGGTTTCTCCCGGAGGCCGGACAGCTTCGACGGGCTCGGGTACCGGGGAGAGGGGCTCGGGTACCGGGGGGACCCCCTGCTGGGACCCCGGGTCACAGAGCCTCCAGACATCCCGGGAGCAGGAACCTGCACCTGGCCGGGAGAGGAGCCCTCTGAGCGGGAGAGGACCGGGAGAGAGAGGAGAGGACCGGGGAGAGAGCCGGCTTGGAGGCTCCGCAGCCCGGCCAGGTGCCTGCAGGTGGGTCATTGCTCACCTGGGAGGAGGACCCTCTGAGAGAGGAACACCTGAGGGTCCTCCTCTGGGCTACAGATAAACAACTATAATATAAAACAGGGCTACATGAATATATAAGATAAGATAAATATAACTCTAAGATACCAGAGAGATTCCTGTAAAGTCCTGCAGGAGGTATGAACAGGATGGAGAGTCAACATGTCAACAGAACGAGATACACAAGATCAAAACAAACGAGATGCTAACTACACAACAATTAAACTAAACCGATTTATTATGTATTAAAGGAAATTAAATGAATCTGAATGTCGCTTTGAGCATGCTAACTGACAGCTAGCCCCGTTAGCTCCACAGGATCCTTCACATTGTGCTAATTAGCTGCATAGCTTTAATTAGCCTGCTGCATAGAGATCCTATTCTGTCGTTAGCCTGCAAGCTAACAGTTAGCCTGATTCACGGTTGAAACATTTATTACGAATCTTTACTTTGTATCTTTAGCCTCTCATTAGCATGAAGCTTTAGCATGTAGCTGTTAGCATGAAGCTTTTAGCATGTAGCTGTTAGCCTGTAGCTGTTAGCGTGAAGCTTTTGGCATGTAGCTGTTAGCCTGTAGCTGTTAACCTGTAGCTGTTAGCATGTAGCTGTTTGCATGTAGCTGTTAGCATGAAGCTTTTAGCATGTAGCTGTTAGCCTGTAGCTGTTAACCTGTAGCTGTTAGCATGTAGCTGTTAGCATGAAGCTGTTAGCCTGAAGCTTTCAGCATGTAGCTGTTAACCTGTAGCTGTTAGCATGAAGCTTTTAGCATGTAGCTGTTAGCCTGTAGCTGTTAACCTGTAGCTGTTAACCTGTAGCTGTTAGCATGTAGCTGTTAGCCTGAAGCTTTCAGCATGTAGCTGTTAACCTGTAGCTGTTAGCATGTAGCTGTTTGCATGTAGCTGTTAGCCTGAAGCTTTCAGCATGTAGTTGTTAACCTGTAGCTGTTAGCATGTAGCTGTTAGCCTGAAGCTTTCAGCATGTAGCTGTTAACCTGTAGCTGTTAGCATGTAGCTGTTTGCATGTAGCTGTTTGCATGTAGCTGTTAGCCTGAAGCTTCAGCATGTAGTTGTTAACCTGTAGCTGTTAGCATGTAGCTGTTAGCATGAAGCTTTTGGCATGTACCTGATAGCATGAAGCTGTTAGCTTGTAGCTGTTTGCATGTAGCTGTTAGCATGTACCTGATAGCATGAAGCTGTTAGCTTATGCATTGGTTTTATTATCTATGAATGCTGATTGTTGTTTTTTATGAATGCTGATGTGTTGTTGTTTATTAATGCTGATGTGTTGTTGTTGTTCTTGCAGAGCAGCTCAGTCGATTCGCAGGTTTGGAATCGGACTCGTCAGGTTGGAAATACATTCGTATTAATTGTAAAATAAAGTATTGTCGTTTTGTTTATGAGCTTGTTGACATTAGGAGAGAGATGTAAATAAAGCGCTGTGTTCAGCCTGTTCACAGAGAACGTGCTCGCTCACCCCTGCATCGTCTTCAGGAGGCAGTGCCAGGTGCCTCGTCACTCTTTAAACACAATCTGAAGTTTCATGCCTTTGATTTGGATGGTGTCATAACATATTTAGTAGTTATTAATCCTGCTCTCTGATTGGCTGCTGCTCTCAGGTGAACTACCACGCCCGCTGTTACCACCTGAGCCCGTTCAGCCCGTCGCCGTCATGTACTCCATCACTAAGGCCCAGGTGAGGACTCTTTAAAGTAGAGACACTACATACTGATATACACCTGAACATCAGCAGGAGAGGACTCTTTAAAGTGAGACACTACATACTGTATACACCTGAACATCAGCAGGAGAGGACTCTTTAAGTAGAGACACTACATACTGATATACACCTGAAACATCAGCAGGAAGGACTCTTTAAAGTAGAGACACTACTGATATACACCTGAACATCAGCAGGAAGGACTCTTTAAAGTAGAGACACTACATACTGATATACACCTGAACATCAGCAGGAGAGGACTCTTTAAAGTAGAGACACTACATACTGATATACACCTGAACATCAGCAGGAGAGACTCTTTAAAGTAGAGACACTACATACTGATATACACCTGAACATCAGCAGGAGAGGACCTTTAAAGTAGAGCACTACATACTGATATACACCTGAACATCAGCAGGAGAGGACTCTTTAAAGTAGAGACACTACATACTGATATACACCTGAACATCAGCAGGAGAGGACTCTTTAAAGTAGAGACACTACATACTGATATACACCTGAACATCAGCAGGAGGACTCTTTAAAGTAGAGACCTACATACTGATATACACCTGAACATCAGCAGGAGAGGACTCTTTAAAGTAGAGACACTACATACTGATATACACCTGAACATCAGCAGGAGAGGACTCTTTAAAGTAGAGACACTACATACTGATCTACACCTGAACATCAGCAGGAAGGACTCTTTAAAGTAGAGACACTACATACTGATATACACCTGAACATCAGCAGGAGAGGACTCTTTAAAGTAGAGACACTACATACTGATATACACCTGAACATCAGCAGGAGAGGACTCTTTAAGTAGAGACACTACATACTGATATACACCTGAACATCAGCAGGAGAGGACTCTTTAAAGTAGAGACACTACATACTGATATACACCTGAACATCAGCAGGAGAGGACTCTTTAAAGTAGAGACACTACATACTGATATACACCTGAACATCAGCAGGAGAGGACTCTTTAAAGTAGAGACACTACATACTGATATACACCTGAACATCAGCAGGAGAGGACTCTTTAAAGTAGAGACACTACATACTGATATACACCTTGAAATCAGCAGGAGAGGACTCTTTAAAGTAGAGACACTACATACTGATATACACCTGACATCAGCAGGAGAGGACTCTTTAAAGTAGAGACACTACATACTGATATACACCTGAACATCAGCAGGAGAGGACTCTTTAAGTAGAGACACTACATACTGATATACACCTGAACATCAGCAGGAGAGGACTCTTTAAAGTAGAGACACTACATACTGATACACACCTGAACATCAGCAGGAGAGGACTCTTTAAAGTAGAGACACTACATACTGATACACACCTGAACATCAGCAGGAGAGGACTCTTTAAAGTAGAGACACTACATACTGATATACACCTGAACATCAGCAGGAGAGGACTCTTTAAAGTAAGACACTACATACTGATATACACCTGAACATCAGCAGGAGAGGACTCTTTAAAGTAGAGACACTACATACTGATATACACCTGAACATCAGCAGGAGAGGACTCTTTAAAGTAGAGACACTACATACTGATATACACCTGAACATCAGCAGGAGAGGACTCTTTAAAGTAGAGACACTACATACTGATATACACCTGAACATCAGCAGGAGAGGACTCTTTAAAGTAGAGACACTACACTGATATACACCTGAACATCAGCAGGAGAGGACTCTTAAAGTAGAGACACTACACACTGATATACCCTGAACATCAGCAGGAGAGGACTCTTTAAAGTAGAGACACTACACACTGATATACACCTGAAACATCAGCAGGAGAGGACTCTTTAAGTAGAGACACTACACACTGATATACACCTAACATCAGCTGGAGAGGACTCTTTAAAGTAGAGACACTACACACTGAATACACCTGAACATCATCAGGAGAGGACTCTTTAAAGTAGAGACACTACATACTGATATACACCTGAACATCAGCAGGAGAGGACTCTTTAAAGTAGAGACACTACATACTGATATACACCTGAACCTCAGCAGGAGA